GTAATATGATAGTAAGTATAATAATTAGTATAGTAGTATAATTGCATAATAAAAAGTATAATAAAAAGCACAATACTGCAACAAATAATACAATACCTTAGTAACATAACAAATAACACAGCAGTAGGTGCAATACACAATACACCACTACAATAATACAACAAAAAACACAGAAACATGATAACACAACAATCACAAGAACATAATAACGCGACAAAACCCACAAAAACGTAATAACATAACAAAACCGATAAGAACCTAATAACACAACAACATCACAAAAGCCTGATGATACGACAAATTTCACGAAAACCTGATAACACGACGAAACCCACAAAAACCTGATAACACAACAGAAACGACGAAAACACAGTAACGCAACGGAGCACCTAAATTTTCAAGCCGCCCAGTAATTATTATAAAAGGCACGCAGCCAATCTTAGCGAAAAAGTCCATCCCCGGCGGTCTCCACCCCCATCCACCTCGGGACTCTTCGAAACGCATCGCCACGAGCATCGTTCCCGTTGTTCCCTGAGCCCAGACATCGAACCTGGGGGAATCCGCAGACGCGGCCCGTCTCATCCGCTCCGTTGGTTCCGCAGGATAGCCCGGGCTTGCGAAAAGCCAGACCATTGACACCGGCGCGTGCTCCGCCATTGTTGCCGGGCTAATAAAGAAAAATAAAGGCTCCTCTTCCTGCAGGATATTAGCTCTTTCCTACCCGGCCCCTGTCCTTTCTTACCGGGCGGGCCGCGCCGCGGATAAGGAAACGCGGCCGACATCCGGTTTCCGCATTGCTGCTTCGCCCCACGAAAATCCGCGCGTTGTTTAATCCGTCCACGATCACCAACCCCTTTTTCTTTTCCACCCACGGCGTGCGGTGAAAGCAAATTACCGGGGATCCTTTCATTCGCTCGTGTTTCGCTGTAAACGCTCCTTTCCACGGTTATTTCTTCCCTTTATTTCCCCCACTCCCCTTTTTGTATCTTGTCCGTGGTAAGACTGCAGCGCGCACGGGCATCCGGGGTTGAAGATGTTGAAGTGTTCTGTATTTTTCGGTAGTTAGCGAGACGGGCTTTGTGTTCGGCGATTGTCTGCTTTCCCAGGGGAATTTTGTGGAATTTTTTAGGGGGCAGTTTGAGGATGATGTTGGACGATGTTTGAAGAAGTTTGATGAGGGTTTAGAGTGTTTCCCGTGGAGGTTTTGTTTGGCTCGTGGAAGCTTCAGATTGTTTTGTAGCTACTTTGTTGTTGTGAGGTTGTGTTTTATGGGAAGTCTCGCTTCGTTTGAGGAGAGTTTCACCTCGTTTGATGAAGTTTTTTGTTTGAAACTGATTTCGTTCTGTTTCAATTTCATTTTCATGTTTCTGATGCATGGTAATTCATTTAATAAATTACACTGGTCTCTAGTCGAGTCCGGATTCAACAAAATATTAATTTGAAAATTCTGGGCTAATATAAAGTGGATTAATATAAAAATTCGAAGGTTTGTGTTACTAAATTTTCACGATGTTTCCTAAACAGTACACTTTGACACTGCCCCAGACACCTGGCTATTGTGGCAGGATCCAGCAGATAACGAAAAATAAAAGCTTCCTCGTAGACATTAGCTCTACTCCCTTTTATCTTTCTCTTTCTTACGTTAACTGGCAGCTCCGTCGTCGTCCCTCTGGCAGAGAGAAAAAAGAAAATCAGTCGAGCGATCGTTTACCTCGAACGCGACGAAACTGTTCGTCCGTGCCGCGGTTCTCAAAGATGCTCCGGAGATCGGGAATTTACGTCTGCCTCATTCCATTCCGTGAAACATTGATCTTCTCTCATAGCGAACTGTTTCGCGTTAGTACGGAAAATTGCATTGAATTAGAATGCCTCGGATGGCACCGGTTTCCTTTCTCGTTCCCAGGCATTTAGAAATGAGACAACGAGTCGGGATTGATCCCGTGCTGATTATTCTGTTCGACTCTCCTCTATAGAACAATTTATTCTGAAGAGAATAATATATTTCAGTTTTAGTATCTTTCTGCAACTCATGTTCTTTTAGAGTTTTATTCGAAATCGTGCATTACTGTATTTCATATTTATAGTCATACTGCATGGAACAGGGAACAATTATAATGACGCAATTACGAATTAATTGCTCACAATTATTTATTCCCTCGTTCATATGCCATTAAGCTTTCGTGTGTTCATAACACACACAATTATACACAAATAATTACCATTAATAAATGTTTGCACCGTTGGACGAGGTTGTGTCGGGTTTGATTTCGTTTTACAGAAATTTTCGTCCTAATGAGCTTTATTTTTTGATGCTTTCTTCTACTTAATGTAAATTGCATTTAATTTAGACGAAGCTTTACTTTAATATATTGAACTTTGAGTAAGCATCTTAATTCGTAGCTGCTCGACAACAAACACAATCCTCTACTCAATTACCTATTTCACAGAACAGTCAGGGAAATGTTTGTCATCGTAATAATACAAATTACAGTACAACGATTAAATGATAACGCAATTCTACGAATACAATTTTAAGTTTATACAGAAATTAGAACAATACATCTCTCGAGATTCGATAGGTCCCTCAGTATTGTATTTGTACAAATACAAAAATCCATTTTATTTTCTCACTTTAATCATTTTCCCTCAATCTAAGTCTCTAATCGTTATTATAAAAGTCAAAAGGTCAATTTAGAATATACGAGTAAACTCGGAAAATAATAATACGATTTAATTCTAAAAACACGTGCTTCTAAAAAGGCAAGTATTTTATTTTCATTAGAGAAAACTGTACGTTTCATTTCACGATTCATACATTTTGCTAATTAAAATAATATTAATTAAAACTAACCTAGCAAACTACTACTAAATATAATTTATTCTCATTTGGAAACTGCGCAAAGTTTGTCCACGTAAAAACATGTTATCTGTAACTTCAATCGCGCTACGAGCGCACCTCGTCTCTGTATGGTTTCGCACGAAAAAAATTACTGACGAGTTGCACTCGTCATTTTACCGCAAAAGGTCAACACTAAACCTACCAGATGGGTCAAAATGACCCATAGTGTCGCTATTTTGCCATTATTAAAAAGATAATAAATGTTTCTCTGAGAAATTATCCAAGAAATAGATTCAGCAGCACGCAAACTGAATTGTAAATCGACTGAAGTCTCAACAGATGTACTCTTGGAGTTTCTACAGATAAATTTCAAAAAGTCAATTTAACCCTTTGCACTCGAGAGGTGACTCTCAGCCACCACATGATTCGACACAACAAAACTATGAAGTTGAATATTTAATCTTAAATTAAAGTTTGCATTGCTACGTGAAATATTTAAATAAAACACCTCTGTTGCTTAATGTATCTATGAATTATCGTTAAATTAGTTTCAAACAATATGACCTATATCTCGTCAAAAAATGTTGAATATTTCCATTGAAAAACTTTCGAGTGCAGAGGGTTAAAGGATGTCGTCTATAACCCATTGGAAACTGTTGAATATTTCTAGTGAAAAACTTCCGAGTGCAAAGGGTTAACTGTTCGGTAGCTTTAGTGTTGAGCTAGTCGAAAGTAGACGACAAGAACACGAAGTGACTTCTGTCAGGTGAAAAGGGATCCACCTGCCGCCGACGAAACATGTTCAGGGTCACATCCGTCACCATCCAATTCCAGCTAGACAAAAGCTGGATTAGAGGGGTATACCTTCGCCAATAATACACGCCGCACAAAAGAGCCATCCCCCAAATTGTAGAGCCGTTCTGTTTGGAAACGAGCACGACGCGCATTAATTCGCGACGAGTGTGTTGTTTCTCGGTGGCCCGCGAAGGGTCCACAGGATAAACCATACAAGCCGGATAAGTATAGGGACCTGCGGTTGATATTAGCCGAACGTTTGCCCAGTCACTCTACTTTTCTGGCATTTAGAGTCAATTAAGCCGGCTCCATTGGCCCCTTTACTGCCGCGGAAGTAATTAGAACCGTCTCTGTAGGCTTCCTATGCGTGACGTTAATAGCTTGAACGCGTGGTCACGTGATGCGCGTGACAGCAGACGTAAGGCCGAATTTCTAGCAAATGGGCTTTGGGTTTCTCTGTGAACTTCAATATTTTAATGGTGAAGTAGTTCTGGTGAAAAGTAATATGGAAAATAATGAAATTTTAGTTTATCCATTTGATTTGATATAACAAATTACAAAGTGGTATATATAATATTAAGTTTTGTATAATGCATTAATATGTGAAATATTTATATAAAATGGCTTTGTGTCTTAATTTACGAATGTTCTCTTATTAGTTCGTTTCAAGTGGTATGTATCATCGGAAAGTGTCGAATGATTCTAGTGAAAAGCTTCCGAGTGCAAAGGGTTAATATTTTTGGGTGTGTTAATGCTGGAATTACTAGAAGGATCAAAATAGCTGATTTTAAGATTAATATGTAGCCATTACTGAGTTGGTAAAGCTGCTTTTATTGATGATGAGGAATTTCAAAATAAATTTCTGCATTTCTACAAGTGCAGCGATAGGGGGCTCTTAAAGTCTTAGAAAATCTGGTTGCCTAATTTTTATAACAAATTGTAAATAAATTAGTCTTATTGCTTGGTAGTTCCAGTGTTAATAATTCCATTAAGTGAACATTATCTTTCTATATTCCTATTTATAATATTAAAAGTCTTTTAAAGTGGAGAATTATAATAAAAATAATGAAATTCTATATAAATATTTTTATTTTCTGTATTGGTAGCCTCATTAGCTCAACAATAATATGGAAAACAATGAAATTGTATAGTAATATCTTTATTCTCCATATTAATAGCTTCATCAAGTGAATATTTCTATCTCTCATTAACACCCTTGTTGTCCGACAAATAACAAGAAAAACAATTCTGTTTTAATCTCCTCACCTCATCCCAGCCCGCACACAATCGTACGATTCCATTTTCACACGCAAGTTTCCCAATTCAATCGTACAGTTATCAATTAATACGTTTTTCTGTTTCACAGATCCGAAGATGAAGTGGCCACTGGTGGTGACTAGCTTCCTGCTGTCGCTCTCGTGCATCCTGGATGCATCGCATGCCGGTAAGTGGTCACTGCCCTGCTTATCCGATGAATCGTTGAATAAATCATACATCGTGTACAATCATCTTGTTTTGCCTATCGACCGCGCGACAGGCCGACATTCGCCTTTCAGTCGACTCGCCGCGGCGGCGGCGGCCTCCCTTATAAAACAATCCAACACCGGTTGACACGTGAAACAGTCCCGACACCGGTACCGTTCCTCGAACGATAAATCTTCCAGCCCCGGAACAAAGGAAACCGAAAAACAACCATGAAACAAGACATTCACGGGGCGACCTGTTAATAAATGTTTCGGTATCGCTCGTCAAACCGGTTAACCGGCGATAAAACTCGCCAGTGCGATTCGAGGCCACTATTATCGCGTCATAAATCATTCCCCCGATCGACAGTTCGGGAAGGGTGCACAGGGAAAGGTTCGCGCGGGGGTGGCGACCTGTAGCGACCCTTGGCACCGCGCAACGATCCGTGAAAACGAGTATCTAAACCAGAAAAACAGTCGGATCGGATCCATTCTCGTCTTTTCTATTACCCCCCGGCTGCTGGGTCAGGGGTGTGAAACACTCGGACCACCCCTGGCATACGGAATCTGGCGTGAAGTAGGAAAGGGAGTACACGAGGCTGGGGGTGGGATTATGATTATCCTGGGAATAACGTTAGCAAGGGTGGCGGGATCATTCGCTGCGTGTAATGCACAGCCAACCGTGGACCATTAGCGAGGATCTTTGGGTCTTTCTACGCGAATGTGCATGGACAAATTAGTCTTTTGTACCCTTTTGTAGGATGTTTGGAGATTTGTCGGAGGGAGCAGGGTTTAGAGAATTGGTAAGAGTATTGCGAGGAGCTGTCTTTGAGTAATTTGAACTGTGGACAATGTGGACGTGAGGTGATTAGTTTGGATTTTATGTGGACTGATCTGGACCTAAGCTGATTCAATTTAGATTGAGCTAGGCCTAATCTAATTCGACTTAGACGGAACTAGACCTAATGTAATTCAACTTGGACTGATCTAGACGTAACCTAATTCAACTTAGACTGAGATGGATCTAACTTAATTCACCTTAGACTGAGCTAGACCTAACCTAATTCACCTTAGATTGAGCTGGACCTAATATAATTCGACGTAGACTAAACTAGACCTAATATAATTCAACTTAGACTGAGCTAGACCTAATTTAATTGAACTTAGACTGGTCTAAACCTAATCTAATTCTACTTGGATTGAGCTAGGCCTAATCTAATTCGACTTATACTGAACTAGACCTAACCTAATTCAACTTAAACTGATCTATACCTAACCCAATTCAACTTAACTTAATCTATACCTAATCAAATTCAACCAAAACAAATCTATACCTAACCTAACTCAACCTACCTTCACATACCTCCAGCTTACAGATACCCAAACAACCAAACAATTAAAATTCCCTTCTCAAATCACTCCTCTCGAATGATCCCACATACTTAACCAAACTTCCACTCT